CTCTCTCTCTCTCTCTCTCTCTCTCTCTCTCTCTCTCTCTCTCTCTCTCTCTCTCTCTCTCTCTCTCTCTCTCTCTCTCTCCCTGTCTCTCTCTCCCTCTAATTTTGAAAAAAAAATCTGAAATGATTCAAATGAACTTCAGATGTTAAAAAAAAGTATCAGTGATGCATTGGCACTACCCCCACACAGCCACCTTAAGCCAAGGAAACCACCCCCCCAAGCCAAAAAAAAAAACCCTCGACCAGGCATCGCGGTCACCCAGTCCCGTACGCTGGATCCCGGTCACGGAACCCCCCCCTCATGAATGGGGGGTAGTCACTGCCTGAAACCAGAAGCCTGACCTCTGTTAGCGCACTGTGAATCAACAGCTCCACTCTCCCTCCACTTTCGTGAAATGCCGTCCCCCATGAGGTGTCACCCCTGCTTGGTGGGAACACCGCCCTCACGCCACGTGCACGAATCCAAAATAGTGGCGCACGAAGCATTTATGTCCATGATAGCATCGGCGGAACATCATAGAAGCCAGCATCGCTAACTCCGCCAACCTGTGACAGCAGTGGACCGTGGCACAAAGCAGACCCCAATTGGTCCTGCACGAACCCTCGATGAAGGGCCAACATCAACGGACCACGATAGCGGCTACCAAGAGCCCAACAAGACTCCAATTCCAATTTCTTAAGTGGTCGGCCGATGAAAAACTTTCAAGAGCGAGTACCACCTAGTCGTTCACCCAACCATATCTTCTTCAACAAGAATGACGAAGACCAGCAGTCAAGAAGAAAGCCAGCTACCGAAACAAACAAGGGCTATCGTAACAGGACTCAGAGTGTCGCATACCGTAATGGTACAGACCAGAACAAGAACCGACCTCTCTCACATAGTACAAGATAGCGCAGCGGAAGGTTATTATACCAATGATCCGAACAATCAATGTTGCAATGCAGACAAAACATACATCATCATCATTCCATGGGGTGAAGGGGCCTGGCGCTCACACAGGAAGAATGCGCCACTCCCAACCATACACAGACGAAGAAGAGGGGGGTTAGACGAAGAAGAGGGGAGGATGGGAATGTCGTCAACACATCCGAACAATCAATGTTGCAATGCAGACAAAACATACATCAGCATCATTCCATGGTGTGAAGGGGCCTGGCGCTCACACAGGAAGAATGCGCCAGTCCCAACCATACACAGACGAAGAAGAGGGGGGTTAGACGAAGAAGAGGGGAAGGTGGGAATGTCGTCAACACACCAAGTCTTCGGTACAGGTCCCAAATAATCCCTCGTCCAATGTCTCAATCCCAATGTGGAGTCTGGATCCAAATGCCGTCAAGTCCCGAAGTCACCAATCTCTCTCTCTCTCTCTTAGTCTGCAGATGCTGAGAAGTCAGGTACCGAGAGGGTGAGGGAGAGATGGTGGACTTAGAAGAGGAAGAAGAAGAACTCTCTCTCTCTCTCAGAGTCCGGTACTAAATTGTGAAGGTGGCACCTTGTTGCAGGTACATCAACGACGAACCTGGAGCTA